ACAATTGCCAATACTTGGTACATCTTGTCAACAAAATATGAGCATGTGTAGAGAAGATCTTAACTATACATGCTTACAATTTAATCAATGTGGGCGTAAGTTGTACAATTTTTTTGTCTATCACTATATTTTGATCTGATTCGAGATCTATAGTTCTCTCATGACACTTTAAAAAAAGGTTTATCACCAGAATAAAATACGATATAATCGAGAAAGTGTTACAAGATTTTATAGCTTGATAGTTTTCAATGATTTTTCCATAATCAACTCTACTTCTCATCTTTATAGCATTATCAGTACTTTCTGGAACAACAATTGTGAATGATACCACTGTAATAAGGAATAGTTCGACTGTTGGTGTAAATTCGCCTACGGGAATTGATATATTGGGAACCAACAGTGATTCAATTATTATTGTAGATATGGGCAATAATCGTATTGTCGGTTTATGGGATGCTGATACACACTATAAAAACATTTCTGTAGTGGCAACTGAATATGCTCCTGGACAGTCTCTGTCCATGCCTTTGGATGTATATGTCAATGCTAGAAATGAATGTGATATTTATGTTACTAACTATGGTACTTCTCAAGTTGTGTTATATTCTAACATGCAAACAATTAATCCACTACCCAGCATCGTTGCAGGTGACGGCGCTAGTGGACCAGGACTTGATGGTTTGTATTTTCCATATGGAGTAGTAGTAGATAGTAATAAGAATGTCATCGTTGCTCCTATGATGCAACATCGAGTAATGTTTTGGCCTCCAAATGCTTTGAATGGTACAATAATAGTTGGCCATATCTCAGCTATTAATGGCGCTACTTCTATGGATCTTGATGCACCTTTAGGAATAGCACTAGATGAACACAATTCATGGTTGTATGTCGCTGATTCAAATAACCACAGGATACAAAGGTACAACTTAAATGATACTTGGCCATGCAACGGCACTACAGTAGCAGGCGGTAATGGTTCTGGACCACGAAGCAATCAACTCTCTTATCCGTCTTATAT